ATTTGGCGTTCCTCTCATAAATAGGGAGGCATCATATTATCACTTTGGACTGGCAATCACATGGTGACTTTGAGTCTTGGCTATGATATTTTATCCTTGGGCAAGGTACATGTACTTTACTCCTATGTACTGCTTCTCCCTATCCAGGAGTAAATAGGAAAATAGTATGGAATGTTGGCACTAAACACATGTGCATCTGTATATGGCAGCAAGGCTAGTATGCTCCCAAGGATTTGAGATGGCATATAAGTTTAACTCAGGACAACTAACCAGGGTTAAAATGTGCAGCAACTTAGAGCATGAAGTGACTTACCATTCTGGTGGTTTTAATTTAAACATACACTCTGCAGCTTGTACAGCTTTGTTTAAATCCTGGGCAAGAACACTGATTTCAAAGAATGTAGCAACATCCCAGTAATCTTGTAATGAGTCTAAACTTCCTTTCCTTCCTATTAAATTATTTAATGATACACCTAAACATGGTAAACATAAATAAAATAGATGTCAATACCAAGTTTGCATTGGTAACTCACCTATCACACGGGATGGGACGGGACGGGATGGGACGGGATAGGATAGGATAGGATATTTTATTTTATTTGGAACATGTACAAAGCAAAACTTATGCAAAGTTCAAAGACATAAATAACAAAATAGCACAGCTAAAACAAGACAAGAAATACACAATTTGCTAATACGCTAGAAATATAAATATAAGCTCAAACGTAAATAACTCATCAGCGGAAAGTTTTTTTCATATCTTGCACATAAATACATAAAGCTGCACGGAATTTCATCCTATTTTATTTGATAATGTGTCACTCATATTTTGTTAAATAATGTTTCTCATCTCCCACTAAATGGCATATTTGTCACCTCTATTTTTAATTCTTGTGTGTCTAGTTCCTAATTCCACAGGCAAGCATAAATTCTACCGAGTCTGAATTAAAATGACCAAAGCATAACTAAGAAATGGTTGATAAAATTCAGCGAATTAAGTTTTGTGTAAACAAAAAATGCCAATGTAATATCCAGTGATCAACTGCATCTAGTTGAAGCCAGCAAGCAGTTAAAATATATTCCATGTTACAATGCCAATCAGGTAACTAAATGATGAAGCAATAAACAATATTATAATAATAAATGTATGAGTTACCAATTCTTTGTAGTTCTTGACATTTTGAGAATTCTTTACCAGATAAAACTAACAATGTTGCCAGATTTATACCAGCATATTCATTAGGTTGCACTTCGAAACCACGACGATACCTGAAAATCAGAACAAAGTATGACTAATAAACACTAACTCATATACACATGACGATACCTGCAAATGAAAACAAAGTACGACTAATGAACACTAAACCCAGACCTTTGCAAAATTATAAAATATAGATTATTTTTTTTAAGTTGAGTATATTCTGGGTTCAAATAGAAATCAAACATTACCATGATATTATATTTCTATTAGATTTGCATTTTTAATAGAACAGCAAACCCACCAAAAACTGTGTACAGTGTATATGCAAATGAATCAGTAAATTAAGTTTTATTTTGTCAGTAGAGACAAATCAAATCAGGAAAATAAATCAGGATTTTTCTGTCGTTTTGACATTCGCAATTAATAATGTGATAAAAAGGTTATCACCTGTTATCACTTACTTGTAGAGCTGGTTGGTACAAGTGATATCATGGGCTGTATGTTATATAAAACATTATTATATCATTTTGAAGAGAATTTTGCTTTGAAAAACGAAAGAAACACCTTAGTTTGGGTTCTTTTCACAAATTGACACCTTTAATGTTCATCTTACCAGCTGACACAAAAGATACTGAAGTATCATATCCAGTATTTGAATAATAAGAAGGGAAAAGAGTCATCGTTGTGTGGGTCCAAAGCTAAGGAGGGCATGGTGTCATCGTTGTGTGGGTCCAAAGCTAAGGAGGGCATGGTGACATCATTGTGTGGTTCCAAAGCTAAGGAGGGTATGGTGACATCATTGTGTGGGTTCAAAGCTAAGGAGGGCATGGTGACATCATTGTGTGGGTTCAAAGCTAAGGAGGGCATGGTGACATCATTGTGTAGGTCCGAAGCTAAGGAGGGCATGATGACATCATTGTGTAGGTCCAAAGCAAAAGAGGGCATGATGACATCATTGTGTAGGTCCAAAGCTAAGGAGGACATGGTGACATCATTGTGTAGGTCCAAAGCTAAGTAGAGCATGGTGACATCATTGTGTAGATCCAAAGTTAAGGAGGGCATGGTGACATCATTGTGTGGGTCCAAAGCTAAGGAGGGCATGGTGTCATCGTTGTGTAGATCCAAAGCTAAGGAGGGCATGGTGACATCATTGTGTAGATCTAAAGCTAAGGAGGGCAGGGTGACATCATTGTGTGGTTCCAAAGCTAAGGAGGGCATGGTGTCATCGTTGTGTGGTTCCAAAGCTAAGGAGAGCATGGTGACATCATTGTGTAGGTCCAAAACTAAGGAGGGCATGGTGACATCATTGTGTGGGTTCAAAGCTAAGGAGGGCATGGTGACATCATTGTGTGGGTTCCAAGCTAAGGAGAGCATGGAGTCATCATTGTGTATATCCAAAGCTAAGGAGGGCATGGTGACATCATTGTGTAGGTCCAAAACTAAGGAGGGCATGATGACATCATTGTGTGGGATCAAAGCTAAAGAGGGCATGGTGACATCATTGTGTAGGTTCAAAGCTGGGGAGGGCATGGTGACATCATTGTGTGGTTCCAAAGCTAAGGAGGACATGGTGACATCATTGTGTAGGTCCAAAGCTAAGGAGGGCATGGTGACATCATTGTGAAGGTCCAAAACTAAGGAGGGCATGATGACATCATTGTGTGGGTTCAAAGCTAAGGAGGGCATGGTGACATCATTGTGTGGTTCCAAAGCTGAGGAGGGCATGGTGACATCATTGTGTGGTTCCAAAGCTAAGGAGGGCATGGTGTCATCGTTGTGTGGTTTTAAAGCTAAGGAGGGCATGGTTTCATCGTTGTGTGGTTCCAAAGCTAATGAGAGCATGGTGACATCATTGTGTGGTTCCAAAGCTAAGGAGGGCATGGTGTCATTGTTGTGTGGTTCTAAAGCTAAGGAGGGCATGGTGACATCATTGTGTGGTTCAAAAGCTAAGTAGAGCATGGTGACATCATTGTGTGGTTCCAAAGCTAAGGAGGGCATGATGTCATCGTTGTGTGGTTCTAAAGCTAAGGAGGGCATGGTGACCACATTGTGGGGTTCCAAAGCTAAGGAGGGCACGGTGTCATCGTTGTGTGGTTCCAAAGAGTAAATATAATAATATGACCAAGAGTAAAATGACATTTTAAAAAGATATCTTGTTCAATTATTTAATGTTGCGAATATTGGTGGCATTTCGGTGGTATTTTTCTGTGTTTCGTTTAGTTTTAGCCGAGTCTGATCCCATGCCCGGACTACTAATACATGCAAAACACCTGTATGCCGCCTGGTGCGTCGGCGTTGTCGCCTGCCATCTTGATACAAAGTTCCAAAACAAGTACGTACATTTCTAACTATGATTGGATGGTTGTGGTGGCGTCGGTCTGGTAAAATTTTACATCCAATTTTTAAAATAAAGTCACGATTAGTGACCTGAGCTTGATCTATACGTACTTTAAAATTATTCTCACAAAAAAAAATATTTTTGAATAAAAACAAGCCACATGCCCTGTAAAAAATCGAATAGCACTTAACATGCAGAAATAATTTATTGGGCTTCAGAAAAAAACGTGTCCATTTAGTTGTAGCCATAAACATTTGGTGACCAGTCAAACAATTTGAAACTCATGATACACACGAAAGTCCTACGATACTGAATATCATCGACCCCAATCTGGTTTACCTTATTTCCCAACTTGCAAAACTGATTTGTATCTCAGCTCAGTTTTTTTTTTCTTTTTTTGAACTGAGGTCAAATCCCAGTCGTTTGTCAAACTATACCAATGTGAAGCCTGTCACAGCACAAAAAAACTATGTGAATCAACGCCGGAGATTGGATGGTACGACGACCCTTAAATTAGCGTCAAATATGCTTTGTTACAACATCATTGATTGGCTGCGAGTCACCTGATTGGAGCACGACCTGGGTCACAGAACCGTATTTATCCTTATTATCAACGGGACTTTGCGAGAGAGCCACACCCACATTTTCAACCATTTTTAGCGCAGAAGTTGCCAACAAATGTCGAAAAACTCATGAATTTTATGGATTTGAATAAAATAAAGCTAGCGATTGATAAGACTGGTTAATAATATATCCCCCAATGCTCTTCGAATTTTTTTATTTTATTTCAAGGTGAGAAATAGATAGTTGAAGTTCCATCGATTTCAAGGCGACTGTTTCACCGCGACAACTCTATGCTGTGTTGTAGTAGTTTCGTGAGGTAAAAAAAATATATAATAAATAGTACTTATTTAATTATTTGGTTTTACAGCCCGCAAATTACGGGACATGATCCCCATGAATTACGATAAATAAATGTTGATTGTGTTGAATGATGGACGTCAGGACTGTTTGGAGAAACCAATAAAATCCAGAAAATTGTTAGTAGTCTGAATTTTTGCACAGTCGAAAATAAAGCGGAAATTCAACAAGCGGTCGCAAAAGCGAGCGATCGAAAAGCAGAAGCGGGTGAGAGGTTGGGCGAAATGAGTTCTGTGCTGATGCCACATTGTCGCCATAATGAGGCCCCAATGAAGCAAAGTGATAACCGCCTAACTTTTTAATGTTGTGACATTGATGCGATGCTGAAGCCATAACAATGCCATAATGATGCGATGCTGAAGCATAGGTGAAGCTGAAGTGAAGCCAAAGCTTTCGCGAGAACTGTACTGTAAGGAGGGCATGGTGACATCATTGTGTAGGTCCAAACCTATGATAATTGCATTGGTTCAAAGCTAAACAAGTATGAGTTAACTTACCAGTAAATGGCATTGTCTCTTGCTTGTGAGTCTAAATATTCAGATTCAACATAGATATCTTTATAAATGCGTCCACACAAACAAAATACATCAGGTACTTGATTTTCTTTTTTCTCTAAACACTGTAAATAACAAAGAAAGTCAGTAAAATATGAATACTAGTAGTTTTGCTTTGTAGTTAAAAAAACATTTTATCTACAATATATTGAAAGGTTTTCAAGTGAGAAACAAGAGTACCGTGGAAGTACTTTCTTAAAATGAGCACATGACACAGAGACTGTATTAAGTCAATGTGAAAAGTAAAACAGTTGTGGTCATATACTTACTGCAGTGATTGTGAGCAAAGCTTTCTCTCTATCACCTTCTTTCTTTCTCCTAGTGAACAAATATAAATATGACAAATGTTTTTGAAACAGAATAATAAGTAAAATGTTGAACATACACCAAATACAGTCCCTGTATGATTATATATGCATGTGTCCTGTGTTTTCACAGGGTAAATGAAATGGGTCTGAGAATATAACAGATATGTTTGTTTGTTTATTTCAAAGCAAAAGTCCATTTACTCAAAGAGTAAATACAATTTCATTTAATGGCATTGAGTGCATACAATGGTAACAATGAGATACATTCAAGTTTTGCTTTTCAATGCAAAATAAACAAAACTAGCTACATTCGTAACTGGTTTGTAACAGCATTTTTGAAACAAATTAAGTGGCAATCAAATCTATTCATAAGCATCTGAAATCCAGTTTAGAAGTTGTAAAAATTCTTGATTTGTGCATATATTGGCACAAAATAGTCACCAGCTGGTCATCTTGAATTTCACGGTCAAAGTTTGAATCTAAAGACAGTGCGAATTTACTCACCTGTTCAGGGCAAAAATGTATAGTATTTGAATAGCAGATTTCTGTGTTATGTTGTCATTAAACTTATTAATAGCCTCAACTAGAGTCACCATGGAATCATAATCCTACAATGAACAAACAGAGTTATTTGGGATTGCGTTTGTAAACATTTCACTATCATGTCACATTAGTTGTATTCATGCACTAGCCTGGCATGTACACGCCAAGCATTGGGACCGTGAAGGCTTATGTCAAAGTATGAGTGAATGATAAGGACTGAGCTAGCATCTGCAGAAAACAAAACTCAATCTTGGTTCCAATTGAGTGTCTGTGGTTCCAGCTCTGATATGCTGAGTTTTGTGTGTGTGAACAATCAGCCAGTAGTAAAATAAAATAGTGAAAGAAAATGACACAACTGAATACATATCTACACTTATCTGCATAAACAGTATGCATAACAACAAAACAAAAAATATGCACCAAAATCAGTTCTAGAGTTACTTTATCTATTTATGTTCTGAACTGCATTCCACGCTACCTAGTAGTAATTTAGATTTTATACATGCAGACATTGGTATGACATTAGCCTCTCTTTGTTCTCAACACGAAAGATGAAAAGATGACATGCATCAGTAACTCTTCATGTGTGATGCCCATTAAAACATCCAACCTACCTGTATCTCTCTATATGACAGCAAAAATTGATGAATAATATCACTGGTTAATAATCTTTGTTCATCCATACGGTGCTTTAAAACAGTTAATTCCTAGAGGGCAGACAGTATACAGTACTATATATAGTCAATAAATGTATTAATGTCAAGCTATATATACCTATTAAGTACAGTCAACATAATAATGCTCAAGCTATATATACCTATCGAGTAAAGTCAATATAATAATTCTCAAGCTGTATCTACCTATCAAGTAAAGTCAATATAATAATGCTCAAGCTATATATACCTATCAAGTAAAGTCAATATAATAATGCTCAAGCTGTATATACCTATCAAGTAAAGTCAATATAATAATGCTCAAGCTATATATACCTATCAAGTAAAGTCAATATAATAATGCTCAAGCTGTATATACAAATGTACCTATCAAGTAAAGTCAATATAATAATGCTCAAGCTATATATACCTATCAAGTAAAGTCAATATAATAATGCTCAAGCTATATATACCTATCAAGTAAAGTCAATATAATAATGCTCAAGCTGTATATACCTAACAAGTAAAGTCAATATAATAATGCTCAAGCTATATATACCTATTAAGTACAGTCAACATAATAATGCTCAAGCTGTATATACCTATCAAGTAAAGTCAATATAATAATGCTCAAGCTATATATACCTATCAAGTAGTCAATATAATAATGCTCAAGCTATATATACCTATCAAGTAAAGTCAATATAATAATGCTCAAGCTGTATATACCTATCAAGTAAAGTCAATATAATAATGCTCAAGCTATATATACCTATCAAGTACAGTCCATGTAATAATGCTCAAGCTATATATACCTATCAAGTAAAGTCCATGTAATAACGTTGAGCTATATATACCTATCAAGTAGTCAATGTAATAATAAACAAGCAGCTTCTCGGCTGAGATAGCTCCGCACTGCGCATTTCAATTAAAGAACAAAAGATATCATTAGAAAATGAACAATATGCATAGTATCAATGCAATGGGACTTGCTGTTTTCAACAAGAATTCAAAAATATAATTTTTAACCATAAATGATTGTGGTTTTTAACAAGAAGAAAATATCACTTTTTACCAAAAATGACAATAATATTCATCAAAATTAGAGAATTGAAGATATCATCATGAAATGAACAAATTTGAGAGTGGTCCATATGTAGTATCTATATATGTAATATCAAAGCAATTGGACTTGCGGTTTTTAACAAGAAGTTGAAAATATCACTTTTTACCAAAAATGACAAAAATATTCACCAAAATTAGAAAATTAAAGATATCATTACAAAATGAACAAATCTGAGAGAGATTCACATGTAGTATCTATATATGTAATATCAAAGCAATTGGACTTGCGGTTTTTAACAAGAAGTCGAAAATATCACTTTTTACCAAAAATTACAAAAATATTCACCAAAATTAGAGAATTGAAGATATGATCATGAAATGAACAAATCTGAGAGAGGTCTACCCAAGGTACATATACACCAAGTATCAAAGCATTCAGGCTTGTAGTTTTCAAGAAGAAGTCGAAAAAGTAAAACATTGACACAGACGACGGACACCGGACGACGCCGGACAATCACTCATATGATAAGCTCCGCTCGACAAAGTCGACAGCGGAGCTAAAAAGTTATAAGTATACCTTTAACACATTAACATGTACAGTCAATGTGATAAACTATAACATTATATAATATACTAAAGAGTATACACCACTTTAAATGCAGTACTTCCTTGCTTCATTTACAGTTGTGTTAAACCTACCTTGGCAAGATCCTCTCCTTTGAACTTCTCTCTGGTTTTACGAATATCATTAAGTAATGCTTCTCGAGCATTGATACTGAAATGACAAATAATGCAATCCATAATGATTAGCTGAGTAGATACTTCCTTGAGGAAGAATTAAAATAAACTATTAGATGTCAACATATCTGTCTTCATTACATTGTACAAAATGTGATGATAGCCCTTGGTTGTTAGTATGTGATTCATATTAAACAACTTATATGAGAGTCACTAATGAAAAAAAATATCTTGGATAATATCAAACCACACCATGTAAATAAGATAATTAACATTAAACGACCATTACAATACAAATTCATAAAATTGTCTTGTTTAAAGTCTGCACTTTTTTTCAGAAGATTAGGACAAAAATAGCCAAATTTTTTGAGTAAAAACTAAAAATTGACTCAAATATATACTCAGAAATATTGAATAATATCAGAAAAAGTGTTGAAAAATTTGGGTGAGAATGGCTGAGTCAATTTTCTGTTTTTATATTTTTGTACCAATCTTCTAAAGACCATAAACAAAGCTCTTTTGTGAATTGTGATGAAAAAAGGGAGCTGGCGGTGAACGGGATAAATCTGATTGAATAAGCTATTACGACAAGAAAAATGTCAAGTTTATTAATATTGAAATGTGCTATTTTAATACCTGGATGTCACTTGTATATCATCAAGTTTGCTTTTCAGCCTGGTCACCAATGGAGGACAAACAGTTGCTGCTAGCTCTGCAGGTGGATCCGTCTTACCATCAGTGTTTATCCTAACACATGCTACATCACATACATATAACTTGCCATTGGTGTCTTGTTGATATGGAATGAATTCATATCCAGAACTCACACAGGAATGCTACAATGTAATATGAAGTGAGTGTGTCAGGCTATAATTAGAGCTTACCATGTGAGAGCACTTAGATACATAGCATTGCTTTATAACATTTTCACCACCAAACTATATAGGCCTTCTTTTAATGGTATGGTTTTATTGGACATAACTGTTTAGAAACTCATTTAAAGGAAAAAGACCAACCTTATTATATACCCTATATTATATAAAATATGTTTTTGAAATTCAGTTCCTCACCCCCTTGACTATTATCGCTGATTTTTCACCATCAGAGTGATTTACATCGTAAATTTTGGTTTCACGAGCGTCTCTAATAAATAACCTATCTAACCACTGGATTGAAGTAATGATGTTATAAAAAAATCCTAGAAGATTTGTCGAAAATCGTTTTAGCATCAACGTATTTTCGCTCGGAAACGCAAGGGCGATAAGACTCAATTTTCAAGGACATTGGCAATGGTACTAGCCCAGGATGAACTTCCTGTTCAGTGCGTCTTTGATTGTAGCAATGTTTACGCCACTGTACGAAAATACGCACACACACTCGCAAATTTGACAACATTCACTTGAGCGTTTAGGATATCGGGAATAGAAGCAAATAGATGGAAATAAAACTCATGAAGATTGATGATTCGATTGCTGGGTGGTATAGCTGTATTTAATGTTCATTTCTATGCAATATGTCTACACTTGCGATGCTCAATTTCGATGTGTAAAATCATATTGCTGCTGTGGAAGGCGGCGGCGACAGATTGTTTTGGTTCTGCAACTCTCATGGGCAACTGATTTTTAGGTTTCTTTTTTTTATATTCAAATGTTTACTTGGTCGTATTTTGTATATACTAGTCAGACACTGACAACAAGTAAGTAAACGGGCCAGGACATAGTCAACATCATTAATAAACAAAATTTACATTACAATTTCATGCTTCTGGATAATCCGATATTTATGCTGGAGAAACAAAGTATACAAGTACTGTCTATGATATACTGCAAAGTGGAAATAATATACCTATTTAACTATTGTACAAAATTCCAAGAGCACAAAACAAAGAACTGACAACAATCGATAAAAAAACAAACAATTGCCAAGTACACTACACAGTCACTGTAGTCACACCAGTAAGAAAAAGATACTGTGTAACTCATGGCAAATGTAAATACAAAATAAATATCAGTGAATACAATATTTATAAAAAAAAAAATGCAGTTTGCAGCCTCCATGGACAAGTTCACAATCTCTAATATTGCAAAACAGTCAGTTGTGAACTGAACTTTAAATCTCATAGCCAGTTTATAAAATAGTGAACAAAAATTTTCGTAAATAATACTGACCGGGAAAGATGCCCACCGTGAAGTGTCTTGTTTTATACAAATTAAATATTTCCATAAATTAATTTTTACTAGCTATATCTTGATTGTGTTATTTCCTGAATTAATGAAAAATATGCTGTCATGTATTTTTAACTTTATTATGACATACATGTATGTTTATAGTTAATTGGTTGTAGCTAGAAAACGATTAACTGAAATTAAGGGAAAAAAAAACAAGACAGTTCACAGGTCATTCATGTGACTTAAAGTGTTAAAAAAAATGTTTTCAATAGTCAATAGAATAGTAAAAAATAAAATAGAAAAATTGGCCATAAAACAGTTTCTTAAGGCCGTCTACCCCCTAACCATAATGTAATTCAATATGACCCTAGATCCACATAACTGTAAGTGACCTGAAAAGGGGAGGGGCACTGTAGGGGCAGGGTTAACATTACGGATCTACGTCAAAACCTGATATACTAGTAGTAGTTGTTGTACAAACCTTTAACGATAACATTGTCTCTGGTTCAGTGTGGTGATATAAAACTACATTTTCTGTCTTTCCAAAACTCTCTCTAACACCGAGATGATAAAATAATGGCGACTGATGACTAAAGACAGACATATCCACAAATGCAACATCAGCAAGGTAGAGCATGTCCAGCACAGTAGTTTCTCCAAAATCCAGGTGCTCGAATGCGATGAGATCTGGACATATTTTACCAACTTTAGAGCAGGCTTCTTGTACGTCTTTGTAGACATGCTGTGATAGCGTAGAGTTCGTATTACTGATCACCAACACCACACGCATCGAGCGGCATTTGCTTCCATTTTTCGAAGACATGTCTCATAAAAACGAAGCAATAACGTCAACACCATATATTAATCGTAATTATTACATTAATACAAGTATTTATAAACACTATATGAATATGTCACACTTTTTTCGATGATGACATCCGACAATAACAACGCGGACGGCCATATTTAATGTAACCCCAACCCACAATACACTACTACTTCCGGTACAAAGGTTCATGACTTCTTCTTTGTTGTTTGATGCCGCGGCTAAATTTATTGGAAGTTTGGCTGCAGTGTAGTTTTCAACATTAAACGAAGTGCAAAGCCTAGCTGACCAAAAGAAAAGTGAAATAGAATAGTCAGCCACAATGTGCTTGACGCTTGGCATGTAATTCACGGTATTCACAAGAATGCACGTCGGTCAGACGTTGTTATAGCATTTCCACGTACAAATGAACGTACCGATTTCAAATATCTACAGGAAAAAGAAAGAAAAAAAATACCCACTAGAACCCGCCTCATTGCCACCGACAAATTAGAATTTCTGTATCTTTATAAACACCAAAAAAGAAAATAACAACTGTAGTGTCCTTGACATGTGTCCATATAAATGTTAATGTTGGCTAGTCGTGCATTTGAAATACCATTCAGACGTAAACTGTGCACAGAGTATACGCGTGAAGACAGCTGGACGGTTATTATGTTACACATTAAATTATGCATGATAAACCGAGTGCTATTAGTGAATCGTAGCTTGATCGAAAATAGTACAAATTATTTGTATTCTTCGAATAGTATTGAGCTCGCATTTTTTTCCAGAGTGATGTTAGTGTGAATTGTTAATATTTAATTTGTAGTAAACGGAACATGAAAACAAACGTACGGGACTATATGAAGACGATTTCAATAACTAGAAAATGATGTTCGAGTTTTCAAAGCTATAAATGCATTATAATAACTGTAATGTCTCTGGAATAATGGTCATTAACTGTATCATTGTACAACACATGTCCTAGTGAGAAATGTACGTATTGTAAATCGCTGTAAATAATTCGTTGTTATTGATGTTTGCATATTTTTTCATCGTGCTCCACCAATGCTCCATTCTTGGTTTGCATTCAAGTTATTCGACCCAAATACATTGTACAAAACTCTTATCTATAGTTGATGTTAAATATTCAATTGCATCACGCGTCATAGAACAAGCTACACGACTGGAAGATGAATGTTAATGCTGTAAACAAATGTAAAAATAGTAAATGTTAAACATGTCTGATCTGAACTGAACTAATGCTGCGGTATGGGTTCTACACAGGAATCGTTACTTATTTTCAATATGGCGATTTTCAGTTTACGTTTTTGCTCATACTCTTCTTTGTGGGATCAGCACTTGTTTTCCCAGCTTATAAATAAAAGATTGGAACAACTTTAGGATTTGTATTTGTTATTTAAAAGCAAGCCAAAATTCCTCAACACACCGTAGAAGCCGTATGTTGTGGGCTTATAATAAACACAGTATGCCCTTTGTTGTAACATTACATTCGATGAACCCATCGCCTGCTCCACAGTCGTATACCGATTGAACTCATTAACCCCATTAGGAATCTCAGTTTTCACAACAGGTCGGCTCTGTGTACATTTTAGATGTTTTCATCGGTAGCCTAGTAGTTTATTCATTTCCCCTCTTTAACAAACATCGCTTTGACAAATTTTCTTACGTGTGCCTGAATTTAAACAGACACAAACTCAGCTCTTTATCCATATCATAATAAAACTGATTTTTAATATCAAATTGACATTATGAATACTTGGTTCATTGCACGGGGTTACCGCTACACGGTAGTCGATATGAATATAGCGGCGTTTAAAACCATTACGCGTTGAAAATATCTCCAAGTCCCAACTACTACACACAATTTCAGTTAAGACGCACTTCTATGTTGCCATTCCACAGTTTTTACAGTCAGTAAAATTACCGTAGACTAAAGAATTGTTCTTGTTTAGTCCAAAACATTAAACATTTTTTTATTATTACTCTTATGGTGTGACACTATCATAAAAGATCGTTAACGTGATTAGCATATAATTTATTACCAAATAGGCTCAGTATACAATTTTTTTAACATTTTCTTTTAACTTCCATAATTTTTATTGCTATTTTTGTTTAATGGATAAATAAATAAATAAATGGGCCTATATTTATATCGGATTTAACCGTATTGCTCTTCACATTGCATTTATGGACCTTCTGGTCAATGATTTGCATATTTATAACTCATTAACATGACGTATGCATCCTTTTATTTGATTTACTTGTGATTACAAATGTATATGCTATATATTTACGTGCGGATTTAGGAAGAGGCGCGCCAGGCTCCCCTTCAGCCTGCAAACAAAACAAACAAACCCACCCATGGTAATAGGATCGCCCCTACCGAATTTCTGGATCCGCCAGTGATATTAGTAAAGCCAACGGCGATTAGGTGTTTGTTTTGTCGAACAAATTCGTACAGTAAATGACATTAAAACGGCATAAACAGTATTGCTGTACTTATTCTGACTTATCTGATACGGACGTTTTACTGCTTTGATAACTACAAATGTCAACATTGAAAATAATAATCAAAAAGCATAGCTTTGCAGGAAGCAAGTATAATACATCTACTATCTTGGGTATGAACATCTGTCATTTACAAAATGGGTACGTATGTACAATCTGATATGAATCTGCAATGTAATGCTTTCACATTATCTGTTCCCTGATTGGTTACATTTTAATGTCTCGTATGTCACTGTCAGTTGCTGCTTTTCATTATTCACTAGTTCCGTATTTTATCGTATCTAATAAAGAACTGGTGTTAACGTGTCACATTTCACGTATTATTCACCCACGCTACAACACACTGACGCATACATGTCTACAACAGGTAATTGTAGGTAATTAAGATCTTATTTAATAAAAGTCATAGTCATAAACAGGTATAACGACAACCCCTTTGAATAACATAAACGTCCATGTAATAATATACAATTGATCGCAGTATAAGTTATTGCGCCCTCGCCGTCCACATCACCCGTTGGCGAGGGCGTATTACCACACATTAATACTAGTACTTGATTCTGTCAGGCATGGTCCCGGGCAGGAGGGCTCGTCAACTTGCCTGGTTCTTTTTTTTTTGAGCGTGATAGTCGAACGCCTGCATGTCAATATCTTCGACTCGTCTCATGGAGATCGGATATATATTTAAATGGGTACATGGCTCAATTCTAGTTGACCACCAAACTTACACTCAAAGAAAACGTTTCACCGAGTTTATAATGTAGCGCTACAGCTACTCTAAGTAGAAAAGAGACGTTCTGTTGTACCAATATACCACTGAAACTACTGTCAATGGAAACGAAAAACGTTCCATCGTAACGATGTACTATGACAGATAGTCACAGCAGAAGCTGAGACCCATTCCGTAGAATATATACACGTTATATATATCACTACAGCCACCGTTCTATTGTACAATATACTAGTACCATTGCAGCTATTATTAGTAGAGACAGATAACCGTTTCATTTTACCAATATATCACTACAGCTATTTTTAGTAGAGACAGATAACCGTTCTATTTTACAAATATACCACTACAGCTATTTTTAGTAGAGACAGATAACCGTTCTATTTTACCAATATATCACTACAGCTATTTTTAGTAGAGTCAGATAACCGCTCTATTTTACCAATATATCACTACAGCTATTTTTAGTAGAGACAGATAACCGCTCTATTTTACCAATATATCACTACAGCTATTTTTAGTAGAGACAGATAACCGCTCTATTTTATCAATATATCACTACAGCCATTTTTAGTAGAGTCAGATAACCGTTCTATTCTACCAACATATCACTACAGCTATTTT